CGAGCTGCGGTGTCGGTGTGTATCCACTGTTGACTACTATTAAAAAAGGATTAGAAATCGGTGGTCAGGTACTTATAATGTTATTGCCATATTTTGCTGTTATTCACTTCTTTTTAAATTTTTACAAGAAATAATTGTGTAATGTGTATTGTATAGATGTTGAATGTGAACTGAATGCAACAAAAGTTTTAATAATTTTAAAAACCATTAAAAATTGATGGCTGGTAAAAAAATTTTATCTGTAAGGTCGTAGAGAGGTCACAGTAGTAAATTTTCCTCATTTAAAAATTGCTACTGAAAGTTAGTTGTTTGAAAGAAATAATGATGGCTGAAGTATGACCTCACATTTTCCATTTCTTTTTCTTCTCACACTACTTCATTGAAACAAAAAGGTTTTGTTATCAGGAACTAAATTCTGTGACAACAGCAAATTTTGTTACAACTTTCAAAATAGAATCCACAACCACTATTCCTCATGATATCGATGGCAATAAGGAATTTGGTTTGTTTTAGCTTTCAAGAGGATTGTTGAATTTTATGTCACTTTTAACTCCACTTATCTTTTTAGGATTTGTATTTTTCTAGCATTAATTAAAAATTAGTGACTGAGTTATCTTTGCGTTCTCTCATCACTTCAATTTTGAATTTGTTTTTGGGAGATGTGAATCTACAGATTTAAATTTCGTGACATGAATTCGTATGCTACAGCTTTGCTACTTACAATTCATGATTCAAAAAATAATTCTATGAAAAGAGTCTGACAAAAATGTCTCATTATTATATCTTCATTTTTGGTTTTGTAAAAATATAACGTATTTTAGGTCGACGATGCCCGATATCTTCTGGTTTATTTCCTCATCCATTTAGTGCACAGAAGTATATTTTGTGCTTGTTTGGATCTTTATATGTGATGACTTGTCCTCCGAACTGCAGATTTAACAGCCATATCTTAGCTTGCACATTTAAATATCCGTTCGCGGCTGAACCTAACAACTTTAGATGTTTAGATGAAAGCGACTTCTGGCATCCAGCTCCAAAAGGAAGTGACAATCCCTGGCATCCTACTCCTAGAAGAACTGACAATCCTTGGTACTATAACCCAAGAGGAATTGATAATCCTTGGCATCCTACTCCTAGAAGAACTGACAATCCTTGGTACTATAACCCAAGAGGAATTGATAATCCTTGGCATCCTAGCCCTAGAAGAACTGACAATGCTTGGTATCCTAGCCCTAGAAGAACTGACAATGCTTGGTATCCTAGCCCTAGAAGAACTGACAATGCTTGGCATCCTACCCCAAGAAGAACTGATAATACTTGGTATCATGACCAAATAGGAACTGGTATTTGGTATCATAACCCAAGAGGGATCGAAAATCCTTCTAATCCTATCCAAATTGATAATCTCTGGAACACTATCCGAAGTAGAACTGACGATTCTTGGAGTCTTATTGCAAGGGAGCCAGATGACTTTAAGAATCAAACTGTAAACAGAGCTCATACTTCTTGGAATTCATTTCCACGGGAACCCGACTACATACCAGATCATCGATATCATCAAGCAGGACATAAAATAAAATTACCGGTGTCTGAAGCACATCGTCTCTTACAATCGTAAATGTCAAAAATTAAAGCATATAATTATTGAATGGAATAAGAAGCGCACATCGACCATATCTCCAGTTATTTGGCAACAAGTAACCTAAGTGAGTAACATCTTGAACTAAGTTGAATTTCATAAAAACTACTCTCATAATTTGATATACTCACAGAAAACAGGAAAAAAGCATTGTCAGCCTCTAACACTTTTTACTTGTTTATTGCTTCCCAATTAATTACTCAGTCTCTACATAACAACCAGAAATCTTAGACTTCCTTTGAATCTTTGAAGCATCTAAAGCTCTGGAAATATGACTGACTTTCCTACAAGTAATTCACTAGTTCTTCTTTGCAAGCAGCACTACTGTATCCGAAAAACTCCACTATAGAAGAATACTTGTTCGCAGTTTCTTTCAGTCCGATAACACATGTGCCGCAATAACTGCCTTTGACACGCAGAAAATCAGGTCAAAAATTTTGACCAGTCAGCTATGCTCTGCTTGCTACATTATTTACATTAGTCTTCCCACTTTTTCAAAAATGAATGGCTTCACTTTTATTACCACTAGAACTACAATTAGCAAGTCAACCGTACATCAAAATTGAAAGATGCATAGGCATAGCAATAAAAACATAATTTCTTAGAAACAATGACACAGATAGCTTAGGAAAGTATGCACTATCACATCAAATGGACAGTTCACAAGGTTGTAAAGCGGTTGAAGGTAGATGTCAGTTTCAAGTATTTGTAATAGTGTAATTATTGTAAATACTGTCTTTCAGAATAAAACTATAATTCTGCGTTTTCATTTTATCAGCTTTATATTTTTAGAGGATGAAATCCTTTCCTATCCAACTTTACAGTGTCAAGAAAGTGAAACGACATTCTTCTATATATATATGAACATTTTCAACCAAACCAAAACACTTTCGTCATCTTTAAAGTACTCTAGAAATTATTTTCACTGCAAAATAAATAGTATATTGCTGAAAGTATAGAAATTCAGGCCTGCAGCAACACGACAATCTTGACAATAGATCAATGCATTAGTGCTCAAACAACTGATAGACAAGCCAATATGAAGCAAAATAAAACATAAGGCTGAATATAATAACGTAATATTATTCTAATATGCGTTATACAGTCAAATCTATAGGCAGCAAGTCAAATGAAATAAAGGAATACTAAAATTGAAAAATGCCGCATGCAACAAACAGAACTGAAATTAAAATAACTAAACGAAAAGTCCATGTAGAGATTTCTTAGGCATGACAGCAACATGCAGACTAGAAATGAAATAACTCTGATTACATTATTAGATATTAAATAGACAAAAGTAAGGAGAGAGCAAGTAGTGCATTTTTATGCTATTTACATATAAATAAATTTCATAGCGCATCACTAAAAAAAGATTTAACTTCTAAGCATTACCAATATTTTTTAGTAAACACCATGTGAACTTCAATTTCCGAGTTAAGTGATGTTTTGAATGAATATGAAATAGCTTGAAGCACCACTTTTGCACAATTTACATTAAAATCGCTAGTGAAAATCGATAAGATGAAATTTTTCGAGATCGATTTTACACAGTCGACAGTGCTTTAACAGTAAAACTTGGTAATTTAATCAACCTTCACAAAATATGCATATTATGGATCCCAAGTAGTGAATCCACACTTCTAACATACAAAAGCACGAAAGTAATGCAGGAAAGATATAAAGAGCTTACAAGCATTATGATTACAACATTCTTGCTTAACCCCTATAATTTGAGCACCTGGATTTCAAACATATTTAAATTTCAATACAGTAAACTTGATGAAGTGCTTGAAAGCATTTCTTTAAAGTTATTTCCGTATAAAATTTATGCAATAGTATACTTCCTTTTGCATCCAAGTCATAACTTAGTTTTTCTCCCAACAAATCTTTCATATCTCTATAAATTTTAGTAAATTAAAGTTCACTGTAATAAGAAAATACACAGTAACAATGCAGATAAGATGACTACACCTTAGTAGTGATACAAATTAGTACTATAAAAATATAGTACTAATTTTGCAATATACATTTCCCTTACATGATACTTAATTTTAATTAAGTACCATGTAATGTAAGTCATGTAAGTCTTTTAAACCATTCTTATCATTCAAAAATTTTATATTTGATATTACTGAAATGTCCAATCCTTTCCAAAGAGAAGAAATTTTAACAACAATGTCGTATTAGAAAAGAAAGAGGAATTTTTTAGACTGGAATATAAACCATGTAATGTCGGTCTTCAATTTCTCGCACCACAGCAAGAGTTTGCTTGCAGAGTTACCCGGTTAAGCAAACTTATCGATCCCGAATTTTTGTCATTCTTCAAATTCGAATACCTAGAAATGAGAAGCAGTGCTAGCATATTTCTAAAAGAATCCAACTGAAAATAATGCAGTCATTCATTACAAAAATATCAATGTTAGTTTTTTTTTTCAAAACAAAGAACTTCACAGCTAACATCTATTTTCTATTTTACCTAGAAACATCTGACTCTGAGTAGAGAATATAACAATACGCCGAAAACTTCAATTTTCCTAATTCATCAGTATAAGAGACAAGGTTATTTCTACTTCAAAATTACTTCACATTTGTTTTCTTTTCCAAAATACCGTCGTATTGCATGAAAATTAAGCAATAGCTTTCATCAACAACAATGCACTTACACTTAAATCAAATTACTCAGTAAAACCACAAAGCAACTACAGTTACGTCAACTATACATACCCTACAAAGAATAAATATGGAAAATATAACAACGAAATAAGTACAGTTGCTTTTTATTTGGTTATTATGTAGAATCTATACCTATCATCACTTTTTTTCATATCATTTGTTAATCGAGTGGCTACTTCATGAAATAATGTATCGACATTTGTTGCATCCAGTGCTGAAGTTTCTAGGAAATAATCAAATACATTGGCATCCGCAAAATTCTTACCGACTCGTTCTGGTACTTCCCGTTCATCTTCCTTGTCAATTTTATTTCCTGATAATAAATTTTAGACAGAAAAATAAGGTTTTATAGAATTCAAACTCAGATCTGACATTCTCTGCTTTACAAAAAAAGAACAAAAAAGATAAAGGCTAGAAATGAGCTCTGCATTTTTCGTTTCCTTTCGTTAAAACTAAGATTAGACTGTAGAAAATTGACAAAATATTCGTACTCACCTACTAATATTTTTAAAACCCGTCGATTAGCATACTGCTCAATTTCGCCAAGCCATTCGGGCAAACAGTCAAAACTTGGCTGGCAAGCAACGTCATAAACTAGCACAATTGCATGTGCTGATCGATAATAACTTTGAGTGATTGAACGAAAACGTTCTTGTCCTGCTGTGTCCCAAATTTGTAACTGCAATAAAAGTGTAAGAAATTGAAAGTGGACACGAAAAACAGAAAATGATAGGCAAATTTAAGGTATAAGTGGAAATTACTATCAAATGAATTCTTAACTACAAACTAAACACTTAAACCATTTCAAAAATTAAAACTGAAAACTTCTGTGAAAGAACTCAAATGGCCGAGTACGAACATAAGCATTAAAACTTACTTTTATTTTGTCATCATTAACTTTGACTGTTTTGATCATGAAATCAACGCCAATTGTAGCACTCTGTCCAGGAGGGAAAATTCCCTGCAATGCTTTAACAATAATAAATAGGTAATCTGAAATATATGAATTTTAAAAATTCATACTACAGCACAACATTGATAGAGTAATACTTGTAAGTAACATCACATAAAGTAATTTATGCAAATTGTTAAATTACCAGTTATCACTCTCTTTTTCGAAGACAAAGAAATTCAGGACCGAAAAAAAATGTATATCAGAAAGCACGGCACGAACATAGAATAAAAGGTGAAACATGAAAAATTTCTCGCAATAACACAGGTGGAATAATTAGTTTTACTAAAAAATTAATAACATAAGCTAGTGAAACGATATTCAAATGGTATTTAATTTCTTACATTTTCATTGTAGTTTGTGTAAATAAAAAAATATGCATAAAAATACAATGAAAAACAATTCATTGTATTTTATGTTAACAAAAATGTACGAAAGTCAAACATTTAATGCAAATAATAGTAAAATAAGCAATAAAAAGTAATATTTTATTTGTGACAATGTCGCCAACTATAAAACTTTTTTACTTTTTTATAAACAAAAAATAACTGCAAACGTAATGCATGTTTGACACGATGATTAATGCACTTCGGTATAAAAAATATTGCAACATCTATCAACAGTAGTAATTAAAATCTGTTAAAAGCTTCCAAATAAATAAGACAAAATTAAGTAATACGAAAAACGTCTAGAAAAATATCCTTCGTATATAATGGAAAAAAAGGAAATGGTTATGAATTTTTATAGTCAAATCCATTTTTCTACAACCATATAGCTCTTGAAAATGAAATAAAAGTGAAAAATTGAATTAAATGCGATGGAAAAATAGATCTACATGAAAATTTATTCCTTAAGTAAAAGCAATGAAAGTAAGATTGACCTGCGTAAATTTTCGTACAAGACATGTTTTACCAACACCAGCATTTCCAACAAGTACGACCTTGAATAAATATTTATAGTCCTCCATGCCACATTGATGGCACGTCACCAAATAACAATTTGGCTGTAATTAAGTTCAATAAAGTTTACTATACTCTTTGCCAACCTTTTATGCAATAACAAAATGCAATAAACTAGCAACTTACTTGAAATTTTTAGTTTGTTATCTATTTAAAAAAATATTATCAATAATAATAATTAAAATCTGTTAAAATATAGTTTTCAGTCTATTAATCTATAATCAATCAACTCAGTAAATCATAATTTATGGCTCAAAGTACATTCAAAAAGCACAATAATAATAAATTTACATAATATAAATAAATATAAATAAAAATACTTCTATATAATAGCAATATCATGATGAACTTAAATCCCTAACTAAACTAAGCTCTAATCAATCAATCAATTAATCAACTCAGTAAATCATACTTTGTGGCTCAAAAGTACACTCAAAAAGCACAAAGCTGTTTTCATTGTTCTGAATGCAAATGAAAAATAATCTTCAAAATATGTATGCAACTGCAAAGCTCAATCATTCGAGCTTAATTAAATACACACGCAAAAGCCAAAAATTTAATTGCAAACAGTAATATATTTATTAGCTAATACATTTGTATGTCTGAATTGCAATGCAAAATAAACTGAAAAAATTTTGTTTCTATTTTGTATTGTAATTTAGACAATACAAAAGCGTAGGCAAGTAAAGTGCTGTGTTTTATAACAAAAATTGCATTAATTATTATATCAATTTTTATTTTAATAAATTGAATTGACTTACCTTGTCTAAAAATCAAAAACAAACTTTAGAAATTACACAATTTATGCAATAACAAAATTAAACCAAACACATTGTTAACGAAGTAGTCAAGGAAACATAGCGAAACGGAAATATAAACCGAACTCGCTAAGTATGCACTGTGCAATATAAAGTCTTTAAGTTAAAAAAATACGTTTAAATGCTATAAAGTATTGTCAATGCAATGCTAGCAAGCATTCTATCTAAACTGTAATCAATAATAGTTTTTTATTGACTAAAAATTTGCTCTTTTAGGTTTAAAATAGCTCTAAAATAATAAATCTGTTATGTACTTTCAGTTGTTTTTGTATAAAATATTTTTTATTTTCAAAAAATTTCACTGTTTATCCTAAAATAATATTAAAATTATGAACTTTATTTAACTAATTGCGATTTCGATTTTCGCTTTTGTAAAATTCTTTTTTTAAAAATTTTGTGAGTTATAATTGTTTGAATAATTATCAAAATGACTAACAATATCATTTAATCAGAGAAATTAAAGAAACAAGCATTAAAACAAACCAGTTATTAACGAAATTTCAAGAAAAAATATAAATATAAATACTATAAAATATTATATCATTAAATAAGTATTAAAGAAAATATGAATTTCACGAAAGTCATAATTTTTTTAACAAATTTAAAATATAAATATAAATATTAAGAATAAATATTTATAAATTGTGCAATTACTTGAAAATAAGTTGCAACTTATCGTATTTTAGGCATATTTATTACTCAATTTACGGTATCACTTTTTATTAAATGCATAAAAGGAATGAAAAAGAATGTTATTAAAATTTGCAGATTTTTGGTACATTCATTTTTGCATATGTCACAGGGCTGTTTGTGTATTTCAAGTATCAGAAGTAGCCTCCGCTGGGAACACTATTCATTTTAGCTTTGCTCTTTCTGTTTTTCATTTGACATATCGTTGGGTCATCAGTTGTTGGATTTAGAAGGAGTGAAAATTGCTTGCTTAACTTTATCTTCGTTTTTGATGCTTCTAAATCGACTTGCTATTATCGAAGCTGTAAATTTCTACATACTATCTATACTTTTTTAGCGTTTATTTTAAGTTGCTTGCATGAAAAGCAGTCATATTTTCAGAAATTTCCAACTAACATGCTTTTTTTTTCTTTTTTTTTTAAAACTATCTATGAAATAAAATTTTATTATTAATAATAAGTGTTAATGTCACGATTTGCTTTTGTATTTTTTGAAATTTTTTCATAAGAAAATTACTTAATAATAAAATATATGTATAAAAAATGTAATGATAAAAGTAACATGACAAATGTAAGACAAAAATTTTTTGTAAGTATGTAAAAATTTTTTTTTGTGCAAAATAAAAATAATATAAAAATGATTTGTGAATTTGATGCATTATTGACAAAAATTAAATAAAATTCGAACTAATTTAGTTTAGATTTATTTCATTCGATCTTTTCAAAAAATGAACAAATAATTTTATACAATTTTTATTTTACACAAAAAAAATTTTTTAGGATTTTTTTCAATATATAGTAATATGGTAGTATACATATCACTATATATTGAATAAAATCGTTGTTATAATTGCAGCAGTTAAACTTAATCCCAATTTTTAATATCCATAAACATAATAAAGGAAAAATATGAAAGTATATTTGATGAATATGGATGTGATAGACATGGGTATATACTTTTTTATTTGAAAAAAACGAAATTTGTATATGAAGTTGTGCAATTATCTTTGTAATGTTAGCTGTTAATTTATAAAAAGTGATTACAAATTGTTTTCATGTTTCATACATAGCACTGATATACGTAAAAATTAAAATGTATGTGCAATTTCAATTCTGATTTCAGTCTTATTCATGCATCAAAGAATTTTGAATCAGAATCAATTGATATGACAGACCCTTGGCGAGGTAATAGTAGTAGTTCGCAAGGCGCAATTATTCAGCAACGCATATCAGAGCCAGACTTGAATCGAATTCATCGAGAACAACAAAAAGGTATTTAAAAACAATACAAAAACAACAAGTCATTAATTAATTAATCAAAAAATATAAATTATCATTCATAATGGTCAGATTAAATTTTCGCTCTTTTGAATATAAGAATTTTTTCAAGTTTGGAAACCACCATCTTCTATAAAATATATACTAAATGCATTATCAACAACTTCATCTTAAGCTAAACGGAGAAATTGAATTCTACATGTATTCATGATTGTAATTTCATATTATAATTATGAAAATATTCCAAAAATAAGTGAATATTTCAATTTCACGCATTGAAAATAAGTTTATTCCTTTGCAAAAGCAGTACATTAGCCCACTTGGTTAGCAAAAAGATTAAGTAAGCAAAAAATGAGTTTAAAATTTTGAAATTTGAGGACTTTTCTTATAAAAATGAGTATCACAATGAAACTTACTTAGCATTCAATTACTTTGATGTGAATGGATTTTGAGAAATTTAAAATAATTTGTTATTTATCATTTTCTTAGAATAAGATAATGTTAAATTGATAAATTTCACATTATCTTATTCTCATTTATAGTAAAATAATATGCAAATGTCAATAAGAGCAAATATACTCGAAAAAATTATTATATTAAAATATGCTTAAATTTTGAATGGTATTTGATAAAATGTTTTAAAGTTATTTCGACAGCAAATTGTTATAACACAAAAAAAATCAATCTGTTATCAGTAAGCATTTAGATTGAAATAAAACTTTGCTTGATTTCCTTTCATTTTTAGGCAATGACTAATGAATTAATCCTTTTTCAAGTACTAATTTTAAAACCTAAAATTCATTCAGATTAGTTATTAACATTCAATCTGAATGGATTAATGACAATAATAAAATGCTGAAAAAATAAAAATTTTTTATTTTTAATGTTTGTCAGTTTTATATATTGCAAAGCGTTCAATTGTATTAGCTAAAACTATCTTCAACATAAACTAACTGCTTTATTCTTCCTAATTCACGTTGTTTCTCAAAAATTCACGTTGTTTTTCGTAGATAACATTTTTGGGAAGTGAAAACTCTCTTTTCTATCTTTTTATAATATCAGTTTTGCAAAAAAAAAAAAAAAATTATTACTTTCATTTTAAAATGTTTGTTGAAAAAGTAAGAAAAGTTGTATTATGCCATCTCCAAGTTTTTTATCCTCATACTTTAAACATGTCACTTTTATGAGGTCAAAAGCAGAAAATATCGAGAATGAAAGCACGCAATAGCCATCATTAAATCGTTTCCAATTCCGTTTCATATTTTGCAAGCATTCAGAATCTCCATCGTAGCTATCAAAACTTGAATTGCAAATACATTTAAGGCTAGCTACTTGTCTTAGTTTACTTTTCTGATTTCAGAATGTCTCTTTTCAATTTCACTAAATTGTTGAAGGAATTATTTTTTCTTTTTAAATGACAGTTTAGTTGTTGTGTATTCCAAAAATTTTTGTTCAGATTTATTCTGTACATAAAATTATTGCAATTGAAAACTTAACTCATTTAATACTTTAAGCATTTCTATTTTTGCTTTGAATTTTAGTCCCTCTCAATTAATTTTAATTAAAAGACTTTTAATGAGAATTTGTTATTTTGCCGTAAAATTTATGGTTAGTTACCAGCAATAAAGCTATTTGTGATTTTGACTTAACTTAAATATAAAGAATTAGTTGAGCTTCTAATTAGCGAAAAGTTTTGTTGAATTTTCTATGTAGTCAAATATTTTAATTATCTACCTGCCTATGAATCAATGTAATGGTTGTTTTGGTTGGTGTCGAGAGTATTTCCGAAGTATTACCACTTCAAATGGTGATCATTATGGTACGTTTCTAATTTGAAAAATATGCAAAATAGACGGTCGAAAACTGAGTGTTATGTATAACTATACTTTTTATAAAAAAGAATAAAACATAAATTAAATGTGATTAATTCTGATCTTGTTTGAAATTGCCTGAAATACGCTGAATTTTTCAATTTTCCAACCTTACATAATACTGCTAAGTTAAGTAGCAAATATAAATTTCTAATCTAAAATCAAATAAAAATTGTTGTTATATATAAGAAAATTGAGAAAATCTCATTAAATGACTACATTAATATTCCACTCGGCAAATCTTTATTCTTTATATTATTAAAGTTTTTGAAATTTAATTTGCAAATAGATTCTGCTAAATTACTGGAATAATCCCATCAATCAATTCAATTGAAATCAATTTAAATTTTATCCCATTTTTTAAGAATATTTTTTTTTAGTCGAATTGCAAATTTTTGGTTTGAATATGATTAATAGAGAATATAGCAATAATTAGGCTTTGAAAATTTTGTCGAAAATGATTTAAAAATAAATCGAATATTAAACTTTCGCCTTAAATCCCTGAAAGGGTAAAATAAAGTTTGAATTTTTATAATATATTACTTATAAAATAATTTATGTATACAATTTACAAACAGCACTGATTATACATCGATCAAAAAAGAGTTTTGAGTTGGTACTACAAGAAGTCTGTGTACAACACTGTTCTGCTGAAACAATGCGCAATGATTTCTCTCAAGTAATTTTATTTTTGATTAATTTTAAAAATTTCATTTCATTTCTAAATTTTTGCCTTTCTATTTACAATAAAATGAGACTATTACAGTAAAATTTCACGTCATTTTTAAACTTTTTATTTAAAAAAAAGATTTTTATATTTTAAAATTATCTTAATTGCATATAAATAAATTTTAGCATAGATAAAAATGTGCCATACGAATTTTTTCTGTGTAAAAAAACTGTAAAGTTTAGTAAACAATTATTTGATCATATTCATTTAAACTCTCAAACGATTAAATTTTTAAAATTTAACATTTTTAAAAACTTGAAAAAAAATTGAATTTTCGTATCAATAAAGTGTTTAAAAATTCTTCTTTTTGCTTCAAAAATATTTTTTTAATTTTTGTGTTTAATTTTTTGAATTTTTAAATTTCATGAACTTTTCAGAATGATTTTATTAGAAATAAATGTTTAAATTGTATATTTTCAGTTGCCTCCATCAAGACGCAAGGCTGTAATTGACTCAAATATCTTTGATGACAGTATTAATAACACTGATGATTATTTAAGAACTAGAAAAACAATTATTCGTGATGATTTGATGCAATCATCAGAATTAATGAAACTTTCAGAAAGTTGCCAAGAGTTTCAAGTGGAATTTCACGCTTGACATACTTAATTACCTGTTTAATAGTTTTTGCCAAATTCTGATTTTAACAATTTTTGTATTGCAAAGATGAATAATTTTTGAATGAAAAAGTTAGCAAATTGTGATAACAAAATATCTCTGAAATCTAAACATTGCCAAATGATGATTTTTATTCATCATTCAGTTTCAGAGAAATGTTCAGAATTGCAAAAATATTATTAATAATAAAAATTTTGTAAATGTGAAAAGTAAAAGATTGACGATTCAAATGATCAAAAGTGATAATCATAATTAATCTTCATAGTCTTCAGTTTTGTAGTATTCCATTTTTGTTCTGAATAAATTTTCAATTTTTTTGCATAACTGATTACTAATAATTTATTTTATTCTATTCTTTTTTGATTTGATACTTACCTCTTTGTGATAAACAGTTGTTTGTATTATTTTCTTGTAATATTACTGTAAAAAAGTAATACAAACTAAAATAGCCAGAAATTCTTTGCAAAAATTTGCTTCTCTTACTGTAAATTAAATTTTTTCCTCTAAGTTTAATGATAGCATTTTCGGAAAAAACTTTACGGATAGTAAATAATGTACCGCAATATTGTAAGTTTATTCAATTTTTGCAATGTTATAGTAATATCAAACATATAAGACTGCATTATTTTTTCAGGTATACAGAAACTGTAAAGAGTACTCAGTAAACTTACTTTGAATACTGTCAAGGAGGAAAGTATTAAAGGTTATTAGTATTATTGATGGAATGTAGTAAGTAAATAAGAAAATAAAATAAGAACTCATCAAAGTACACATAATTAGAATTATTTAGTTCAGATAAAAAACGTTGTGTGTTCTCATGTCTGAAATTAGATTCATTGAACATTCTTCAGTTATGTCTTTGAAATGGTGTCATGAAATAATATTTTATTTATGTTTGTATATTGTAAATTAAAATTAGTAATAATATATTTTAGTAGATTACAACTAATTGTAAGAAATGTAAAGACAAAAAAATATCTTGTGACAGAAAAAGAAATAAAAAATTTGCATACATTGCGTAGTAGTTATGTATTCGAGTTTGTGCTCAATTTTGAAAATACTTTTTAAAAATTACCTTTTCAGGTTACTACATGAGATACAAAATAAACAAAAAATAATACGCAAAAAATGAAATTGGTGTCAATGCACAGTCTCTACAAAACCAAAAATAAATAAAGTTTAAATTAAATTTACTTTCAAACATTTTATTATTCTTTCAGAACCACAAAATATTCAAAAATATAGTTAGATTATGAAGTAGACACCTTTGAAAAATGATATCTACACATTTCCACGGTGTTTTTCTTCGATAACACACCTAATGTACAACCAGCATCGAATACCTGTAATAATATTTGGTAGTTTTGCATGGATTCTTACTCACAGGATTCTCTTGCAGTATCTAGAGAATATTATAATTTCCATAACTTTGAATGTTTTGAAAAGTAATATTTTCCTATATCACTCAACTGACTCTAAAGTAATTTTCGTTACTATTTTTCTCTAGCATCTTGAATTTGATTTAGTTTTTTAAAATTAAGATTTCATCTTCATCAATTTCCATTCTTAAATATTGAAGTTTCAATTTACTGCCTTCTAACAAAATTTATTTTTAATCAGACACTGCAATACTCATTTAATCCAGAAACAAACAGAAAGATGTTTTAAATAATCCAAAATAAAATATCATTTATACCAAATAAAAATGACTAAATAATTCATCTAACTGAAAGTTAATTAAAACTTTCTTTGATGAAAATAATATTTTTTGGGTACCTTATATATATATATATAACGTTAGTTTGAATATACTGTATTCCATTGATAAGCTTATTAGAATGAATAACTATAAAATTACTTCTAATCAAAAACTAACTGTCAAAATCTAATAAATATTTATGTACAAATAAATTTGAGTAATTTTTTTAAAGTTTTGTAAAATAATACATAGACAGTATTAGTGAACAACAATGTTAAATCAGTGATTAAACCTGTGTAAGAATATCATTAGCTTCTGATTGCGTTTTATTCATCAATGTTAGTTCAGCTTTTAAAAGTCGCACATTCCATGCGAAATTCTCCATAGCTCGATTAGCTTTTGCTCCGCGCAGTCCAGCATTTGCACATAGTTGTGTTAATTCTTCATAGCATTCGCTTATTTGTTTAATCGTTTTTTCTAGCTGAAATTTAGTAAGTAAAGTTAAAATTTTAAAAATTTTTTGCTCATTTAAAAAATTAAATGCAAACTTTAAGTAATAAATAAACTTTTAAAATTGTACAACTTTAAAGTATTTATCTGTGCTTGTTTTTGCTCAATAAATTTTTACTTCTATTTGATCAAAAACAAATACACACACAGAAATTTAATGTACTGTCCCAGAAAGTTTGTATTATTGTTAAAGCCATCAAATTCATTCAAATCTCTAATACTGAAAACTATTAAGCTTCAAGGAAGTTGAAATTGGTTTTTTCTTTCCCAAACATACTTTCATCAATAATGGATTGGTATTAATTTGTATTTTGGCGCAGATGTCCAAAAGGGCAGACATTGAATCGAATGTTCTTTGCAGTTTTTCTGGGAAAACACCACGAGTCACGATAATGGGATACTGTAATGAGCATCATGTTTGCATAGAATATTTTGGAGAACAAATAAAATTTGCACAGAACATTCAGTTAATTAACTTGTTTATATTAAAAAACCTTTAAATACATCAAAAATCTATTAAAACAAATTACCACTAAAGAAATCTCTAAATCAACACCATTTGAAAGTTTTTAATCTATTTCAGAGTTTTTTAAATATTTTTGGTATTAAAGTACCTGAACAAAATTAAACATCTATTATCATATCATGACAAATCTCAAACCATTTTGATTTTACTAAAATTTGAATTACAGAAATAATTTATAATTTTAATATCGACAAAAATATATATATCTATATATATATTTATTTTTGCTTTATTGCTTTTTGAAATTTTTGCGAGTTTAAACCTAAAAAATACATATTATCTTAGACATGCCAGATAGAGACTAGTCTAGCTAAAACATACGTGTTTTATTCAATTTCCATTGGATTTTATTGAAATTCAGACTAAATTCTAATAAAAAAAGAAGCATTAATATCTTTTAAGAATAAAATAGCTTTTAGGCAACTTAATTCAACTTTAAAAACACAATAACATAGTCGTTTTTTGTGTTGATAAAAGGAACGATTCAAGAAGTATTTTCTGCACCTTTGTTAGGACTAGTTTTTTAATTGGAAAACAAAGAGCATAAGTGCTTGCGCAGTTTTGTTTCAGACTAAAACTTTTTATTTTTTTAATGTAATAAAAAGTTATGATTGTAACACGTGCATCAATCCAAGTTCACTTGATGAACTCATGAACAGGCTAGCACAATATGTATAAAAACCATTTATGCAAATTTTATGCTTATAAAATTGTTTCGTCAAACACAAGGCTTCTTTTCAAATTTCTCAAAGACGACCTTTGACCTGTCATTTTCAAAAAATTTTCCTTTAGTTAAAAGATGGTACAAGCATTTTCATAATTGATATCACTATTAATCAAATGAATTTAATTTGAAAGAAGATTTTATCAGCAAAATACACAACATAATATGTATATATGTATATGACATATTTTTTTTAACTAATTAAAATTTCGATTTCAATGAGTTATTAATTTCAAGTAACCAGTTTAGTATCTATTGCATTTTATGATGAATGTGGCACAAATTTTAGCTAAAATTGAAGTCACATTAGTTATAATTTCAGCAATTATTGAAAAGTAAAACAAAATGCGCAAAATAACTTATTATAAATTTTTGCTGAAAAACTAACAGTTTTCTCATCGCTACAAATTGCAAAACTTGGTGTATTGTCTGAAACTTCACTTGAATCATCAGATTCCTGAAGGGTTTCTGGCAAAGATGCTGCAAAATAAATGTGGCAAAATTTATTTTTAAATGTCGGAAAACAATTATCACACTTAAAAATTTCATTTAGTAATTTCGATTACTTAAATACATTTTTGGTTAATTAATATTATTAATTATGTGTATCATAAATAATTGGAAAACTAGCAGCAAAATACTTAAAATTAAAAATGGTCGAATTTTTGAATAATTTTTTTGTATTTTCATTCCGTGTATTGTAAAAATGAATATTTATTCATTTTAACTTATATTTATATGAAAAAAATTTAATTAATATTTGCCTCAAAAATTAAGAAATCTTAAAATTTGCCAAAATTTAACAAACCGTTTGTGGCAGCAGTTTTAGTACGTGTAAGCATCAAACGTAAGCCTTGACGGATAGTACCAGCTGGCCCTAAACCACAATCATTCCGCCATTTGACCTAAAATTTATGTTTAAAAAACTTATGCAAAATGTGTTAAATTTATTAAAAAAAGTAAAAACTTATCATGTGATAGAAATTTTGTAATGTAAACGTACTAAAGCAAATTCAAGCTTTTCACGCATTTCAGTTGACGCTGTCAGTGGTGTAGTAGCTTGCTTGAAGAGTTCATCAACAGATTTAATATCTATTAATTTCATGCCCTTAGCAATACGCGTGCTTTTACGCTTCACTGACATACCACGTTTTTTAGGTTTCTAAATTATTAATTAATGAAGTATAACTGAAGAAACAAATAATACTAAAAAAGTAAAACTGGAATATTGAATATCAACTGTTTTTATTCTTTCTCAAAAACAAAATTTCATAAATTGAAGAAATAGATTAATATTATTAATAATTTATGAATAATAATATTTGATAATTTGATAAAAAATGTTCATCAATAAAACAATAAAAATAATTTATTAAAGTAAGGATAAATGGATAAGCAAGTTGAAAAAATATTTAAAAAATAAAATAAATTAAAATAAAACTAAGGAACGAAAATTTGGCCTGTTTTTAAGCACTCTGAAAATTTTTTCGCTCTCTCGAGAATTGCTTCATTTTTCTTTACTCAAAAAGATGTTGTTAGTTATTGAATTAAATAACACAAACAAACAATTTTTGCT